TGTGAAGAAGGCATTCAAGTAAGAATTGCATTGTAGTAGGACTCATTTCCTGGCGCGTACAATTTATATTAGGTCAGCGTTCACGGTTCGACTTATGATATTCAGATCGAGTTGTAGGTCAAACTGGTTTGCTCGACTTTCAAGAAATTCGAGTTCTAGTGAGTTCGAGAACCGAGGTACCACTGTACTTTGAGTAATTTTTATTTTCTCTGTAAATATGAGTGAGTACTTGTATGAGTACTTGGTTAAGGTTTGTGTGAGCAGCAAATGAAATACGAACATACTTCATAAGCTAAGCAGAAACACATATCTTGTTAACATGCCTACTGGTGCCTACAGGCAAAAGGTTCCATTCCTGTCTAGAGATAATCATTTGCAAGTTGCCCTTATAGAAAAAACATACACACCAGAGCTATCATGTAAGAAGGCTACAACGTGGGAGGCCACACCCACTTATTGTGCTCCTGAAGGAATACCGTGTAAGCCCCGCCCCTTGTGACATCATGAGTCGCTAAGCACCGCCTACGAACCTTTTGTGACCGGGCAAAAAGCATCCTTATAGTGCTGAAGACAGCTGTAGCGTGATGGTGATGCAGTTTCCTGCCAATCAGTTTTCATCTGTGTAGGTCGAAAAATTCTCATTCTTAAAGTTTGTATTTAACAATCATTTGACTGATAGATTCTTACTAACAAACGAAACAGTCCCTAACTATGAACCTGATAAGCATCAGCCAGTTTAAGGCAGCTGGACGATGAGATGAGAGACACGCAGCTGTGTCTCCTGCTGTTTGTGTCACGCGGAGACACGATGGGAAGATTACCTCCTAGGCCAGGCCTGAGTCGGTTGTCATAGCCGTCAAGCAGGCTGTCTAAGATCCTGGTGAACACGGTGGTGTTGTCCTTCTGCTCGTCGGAGATGCTGCTCTGCCCAGAGCTGAACAAGCCGTATCGGAGTAGTATTATTACCCTGGTAAGCCTAACATCATGTGCACATACACAAGCATATATACACACAAAAAGCAAGTATGTGTGTCTTTGGGGAGGCATGTTCTGCTGTCATCCTCATGAGACAAACACCATCTTCTCATAAATCGCAAACGCGGCATTTTTTTATTATTTGTGGTTAAGCTACATACATAAAAATGTATGTAGCTACATGATGTGTGTGTGTGTCTGTGTGTGTAACTGATTGATTAATATCTTATTAATAATTGCATTTACAATTCCAAGTTTCCAAAAATGTACAATAATAAATGAAACACTAGAGATGCTTCAGCAAAGAAGCTGTACACAGTCGCCACTCAGAAACATTTGTATTCTGCCAGTTTAGTCAACACGGTGTGCCTGTGATTTCCGATACATCAAACAATGTTGAACCCTGGAGATTTATCTCGAAAATGCACGTGTAAATAAAATTTTAAAATAAAATTTAACTGTAGAATAATTAATAAAACTTGTTCATGAAGCCTTTTTGTTGTTTTCTTTTTGGGAAAGGGAAAAGCGTTCGGTAAATGTGATTTGCATTCGGAGCAAGCCATGCGATGGGCTCTCAATGAAACGCTATCGCCATCTGCAGGTCATCTGAAGAGCAACAGGAACATCCAGTACACACACCGCAGACACAGGAAGGAAGCTGCCCTCGATAGTTTTCCAATTGCACCATCCTATCATCTGTGCTAATTAAGCCAAGCTTTTAATTAACATATGCAATTGAATCCTAGTGTAACGATATTAATCAAACCTTGCATTACGTACTTTGTAGGAAACCCTATAAATGGCCTCTTATCTTAGTGATGTAGTATGGACATTAACAGACAGTACATCACTACAGCTTAGGCTGAATCAAGCTATGCCTCTATACTAGATGGCAGCCGAAGGCGGACGGCGATTTCCCTTTAGAATCATTACCTTTTCCCGCAGAGCGCGCTCAGGAACTGAACACAGGCCCATACACACATCACGGTATTTCCAGTTTGTCCCCACATTGTTCTGATTGATGTCAAATGCACTGCAAGAAAAAAAAAATCGCAGATCAGTTCAGGCTGAAAAATACAAAGTGGAAGTCATCACCTCCAGTTACAGTAATTACATTAAAACATGTCCCCACTTAAGTACGTCCAGTACGTCTCTAACTTTGCTTATGGAAACTGAAAGAAATCCATAGTTCTCTATGAAATTAGTCTTTAATCATCTAGCGGCAAGGTGTATAATCCGACTCTTCGGTTCACTTGTTCGGCATGCAGCACGACTTTGCCCTTTACTCACTGATTTTAGTCACATATGCTGCACGTAAAATAACTGGCTGAAATCACTTAGGACTTGTTCTATAGTAGCCGTCATGTTGGTTGTAAAACGTAAAACCTACGGAAAGGGCAGCCTTTTCACTGTCAATGACAGATGTGTAATACGCAGAGAATGCCGAATGAAAACATGCAAAGTGTCTATAGATCCGTCTGAACTTCAAAACAGACAACGCGCAGAAACCGAGACGCACCGGCTGCTTCCTCCATCCATTACAGCTTCCATAATTTCGCCGTCGGGGAGCTATAACGCCTTAATAACAGGGAGCGGACTGGATTTTGAAATATTAGTTTCTAATAATATTTAATAAACGTACATTCTGCCTCGCCGCTCAAGAGATTGATTTTTATTGAAGGTATCATATATGAAACAGAAGGGAAACGCAGGCGAAGGCGATTGCTGTTAAAATACATACAACTAACAGCCAGAAGACTTGGGACGTTGCGTATACTCTTAAATCCAACAAGAAAAGCACGGTAATGCTAATAAGCATGCAATTCATATAAAGCGCGTTAAAAGGTTTTACCAGGGAAGGCTGCGATAAATCGGAGAGCATATCGCTTAAGCACTGGAAGTCACCACACTAGAGTTGTAAACAATACGAATTAAGGTAAAATATATATATATACAGATAAAGTTATAGAAGAGATGTGATATGCCGTATCCGTACCGTAATTCAGCACATGCTGTATCATATTAATCCCTATATGCCGATCAATTGAGCAACAGTGTGTGCTGTCGTAGTATACAAGCAGCACAGTGCAAGTAATCCTTCAAAATACCCAGACAGTCACGGAACAAGGATTTTATGATTTAAAAAACTATTCTGTATACTAAACGATCAATTCAAAACCAAATCCGACAAAACAATGTCTGATTAATTTGTATCAGTTATTTCTCTGGAAGAAATCGATTAAGTGACGTTCAAAAGACAAAATCGCTTACGGCTTTACGTTTGTGTCTTGTTAAGTCAAAGCAATTTAATACACATAAAATCACTTACAGTACAATGGTAAAATAAGTCGGTTACCTTGAAACTTTTTCTTAAATATACCTTTTCAGTGTTGCTTCTGTTCTGTGTCAGATCCTCAAGATCACAAATCTGTTGAATTTCTGCCCGGCTGACGCCGCTGAGTCCGCACGCCTCACACTGTGCCTCGGTGCGGGAATTAAATTCTACTCCGCTCCCGCAAATTGGTGCTCAGTGCAAAATCTGCCTGGACGGTGAGATTGTATGTAAGCAACGTTTCTCACCAAGACAATAGCAATGTGTCTCTGTGTAAAGCGGATGAGAAATGCACTGTGACTTCATGCCAGAGCGATTTTATTTTAGAATTGAAGGTGGTACCAATCTTTCATCCTAAAACCATTGCGCCAATTTTTTATATGTTGCACAATTAAACTTCCAGTGCTGTACACTTTTCTATGCATGGTTAAATGCATATATATATTTTTCTCTGGTGTTATTTAAGTTTAATTTTCCTTATGGACTGCACTTATATTTCATGTTCTTCAAGGCAAAAACATTTTGTACAGGGGATACACACAGTGGGCACATTAGTATTCAGTGCAACTACCATTGTTATTTGATCACAAAAATACAGTTATCTATGTGTAGAAACGAATTGGTATGTTTCAGATAGCTGTTCCATGGCTTTTATAGATCAGCAATATCCTGGATGAATCTTTATTTAATTGTACATATATCACAACACCAAAAGCACATTTACTGCATCTTAAATAGGCCTTCACATATGTGTGCACTCTACTCTGCAACTTAATGATGAGTCCATTTAATGTAACACACATTGTACATTTAGCAGCAATTCTGACCAAGAATGAAAAAAGCAAGGAAGTGAAGAGTCTTACAACTTTTTTTCCTTTATGCAAACACATCAATAACTGGCTTAAAAGTGTTGCCCTATTGCTCTCAGATTAAACTACACATTGTCTACGTATGTCCTATGTCTCAAGATGAGATTTGTTACTTATATCCGTCACAAGAGAAAAGTGAGGGGATTCAACTGACATACAATGCAAAAAGATCTTATATTCGGGGTGTAGTAAAGGTCACATATACGGGGTGTAGTAAAGGCAACGTATATGGGGTGTAAAGGTCACATATACGGGGTGTAGTAAAGGCAACGTATATGGGGTGTAAAGGTCACATATACGGGGTGTAGTAAAGTCAACGTATATGGGGTATCTTGAAGATCATGCATATGATGTGTATCATATATGGGGAGTAGTTAAGATCACATATGTGATGTGTAATAAAGATCACATACATACATCGGGTGAAGTGCAGATGACAAGATGACATGCGTAGCGTGTAATAATGATCTCATATTTGGAGTATAGCAATAATCCAATATATTTTGTGTAGTTAAGATTGTGTATACAGGGTGTAGTAAAGATCACATATATGGGGTGTAGTAATGGTCTTTTATATGGGCTTTGAAGGTCACAGGGGATGTGGAAAAGATTACTCAGAAGCTTAAATGCTGACTAATCGGCCTCCTTTATATATTTACCTTGAGAGTGACGAAGGTGACACCATTAACACTGAAATGACAAATCTGTTTCATGTTCAAAAAGTGAATTAACATTACTAATAATAAGTCATAATAAAAAAAGGAACAAAATAAGAACGTTACCTATGAAATCTTACGGTGTGACGTTTGTGAGGACCCCTCAGTGCCTGTCCATAAGTCGGCTCTGCAGATGCAGTGAACACGTGGGACAGCTGATTAAAAAATAACCTAAGTGAATCCCGGTACTGTTACCTTGAGTCCAGAACGTATCAAAGGTGTGATGGTAGGTTCAGTGGAATCAACGGCACAGAAGGACAGAAGGTCTTTATAACCAAAGATCTCGTTTCATGCAATAAAGATAAGCCAAAGCTGAGCATCAAAACATTTTTGATCTGTCATTTAGAAGACGGATGTTCTCCGAATTTACACTTGGAAAATGAAGCAAACAGCATTTGAAATGTTTGTCATTATTTGAGAAGCACTTAAAATAACAGAGAGGCAGGGCCCCAAGGAGTTCAAACACGTTTCTGAGCATTTATTTGAAAATCTGGGTGTCATCAGTCAGCAAGCCTGTTTTTGGCGTTTGTAGTGTGCAGTGTGACTTTCAAAGACCCTTGCATATCCCTCCCCGGCCTCTGTACAATTTCAGTAGAAAAACAGTGAGTGCAGGTATTCTCTAGGAAACATCCTAACAAGGGCTTTGGTGTGGTTTCTCGTTTGTCTGATCAAAGAGAAAGAAAATGTACTTTGGTCACAGAAATGCTACTTCACTGGTAGTGGGAGCAGCAAAGCAAGCTGTCTGACTGAGCTAAACTCGTACTGCAGAAAGACTGCAGAGGGACATTATGTTGATCTACCTTCGGTGTTCACCTTCGGCACTCCACAGAGGCCCTGGCAGATGTCAGCAAGTCCAAGTCTAGGATCAACAGATTAAAACCATGGCGTACAGTGGTGGCAACTATGTTATAAGCTGTGGGGTATAGTGGTAGGAACCATTTCATACGCTGTGGGGTAGAGTGGTAGGAACCATTTCATACGCCGTGGGGTATAATGGAAGGAACCATTTCATTTCATACGCCGTGGGGTATAATGGAAGGCATTTTACACACCGTGGCCTATAGTGAGGGGAACCAAGTTATAAGCGTGAACACAGTACAGACACACAGGATTACGGTATGCGGAGGGGCGCTGTGCGGCCGGACGTGAGCACAGTACAGACACACAGGATTACGGTATGCGGAGGGGCACCGTGCAGCTGGGCGTGAGCACAGTACAGACACACAGGATTACGGTATGCGGAGGGGCACCGTGCAGCTGGGCGTGAGCACAGTACAGACACACAGGATTACG